GGTTTGGGTTTGGGTTTGGGTTTGGGCTTGGGTGTGAGCAGTACAGGTCTATGAAAGCCTCGGTTGTGGGGATTGATAAGCTTTCCCTTCTCCTGTCACACGCGGGTTTGCCCAGCAAACAAGATAATCACCAGCTTACTTTTGCTTACTCATTAATTTGTAGTGAACAATTTCACTTGTTTTCCCTGCACGTGACAATAAAAAAGTGGTGAAACTTCACCATATAAAATTGTTCACTATAGATTGGCCAGTAAGCCCATGCTTACCTCTCCTGGCCTCTGTTTTAGAGAGACTTTCTCTTTTCTTTCATGCAGACTGTAGGTAAATTTGTCGTCTAGTGTAACTGTCTGGGAATGGAGTCAGTTCTAAAGACAGTTGGATTCCTTTTATCAAACCATTTTATTAGGACATAATCCAGACATCATACCATTCAATAGTTCAATCATATCAGTGTTGTACACTTGTTACCACTGTCATTTTCAAAACATTTTGTTCCTTCTTGTACTCCTTGATACCAGCTCCCCATCACCCCTCCCCCACCACCATAGCCCCCAGTTATTTGAATTATTGTCTCTATAGATTCATCCAACCTGGGTTTCATACACTGAAATACATAGAAAGATACATAATAGATTCAAAAACGCTACCAACAATAACAAAACACAACAGAGATAAACCCCAATTTGGAAAAACAAAACAAAACCACAAAACCCCAGATAATATTCAAAACCAGATCAAACTCAAAGTGTATCAAAAGGGAGATCAAATTACAAGATTTTAACCATTCCAAGTAGATTTAAATTTTTAATCTACTATAACAGTCTTTCTAATACTTTCTAAATCTATCAATCTCTCTAATACTTTCTAATACTCAGGTTATTCCCATCCCTCAGTTACGGTCAGAGGGGAATCACTGGAGGATTAGTTCATGTGTGGATCCTGTAAATGTGTGTTGGGCTCCCACTGTCATCCATAGCCTTCTGCAAACCAGAATTTCACAAATTAATCTCTGATATAATTCCCTCCTTTGGATTTGGAGTTTATCATTTATAATCCTTGGATCACAAATGTTGGTATGCTTCTTCCATGTGGGCTTAGTCGACGTCTCACTTAGGTTGCTGCTTTTTTACAAATAAGCCTTTAAAAGACCCCAGACACTGTTCTTTCTGATAGCCGACACCATCTAATTTCATCACTGTAGCACCCGTATCTTCCATGTTTCCTTTATGATGGCAAGTATGGAGCCAGGGCCATGTGGTAAGAACTCATTTTCCTAGATTGGAGCTGGGATTAAGTGCCAACCCCAATCCATTCCTAAACCTTTGTTTTTTATCTGCCTCTGGTTCACCTTAGATCTTTGTTACTTTATGGTAGAGAATCCATATGTTTATGGTATCATTGATGTAGCTCAGAGTAATGTATTTAGAATACAATTGATAAGGGAGACTAAACAAGTGTAGGTTAACTACAAATCGGAATCCATGAATAACTGCCTTGCACAGATTGAGTCCTTCGGTGTCTGGACAATGGGAGTCAGTGGTCAAGCAACTTATAAACTTATAAAAATATTAACTGACAGACAGACAGGTCTACCAGAATCATACATATCTTAATACAGCAATTAGGGCACTGAAGTAGTAAGTAAATGTTAGTCTGCCTGCCGAATGTTCAAAACTCTTGGTCTAGCTGTCTCTGGCCTTTTCACAGTCCGTGTAATTTTGGCCTTAAGTTCTTGCGTTACAGGTGTGTTTGAGGTGAAGCCTAGTTCACCTAATGGGGTTTCCCCATCACATTCCTCTGGTCTGGCCTTTGGAATGTGTTGTACCCCTTGCAGAGCCAGAGTTCAATGTCCCAGTCTTCTAGGGCCCGTGGCCTTGGTCCCCAGGGGCTGTCAGAAACTCAGACTAGTGTGCTATTAGGAGCATGGTACCAGGCACACTCACCCCTTGGAGTCAGTAAAAGCATTGTTAGTCATTTTATTCCCTACTAGGAAGTTGATCCTCCCCGTTTTCTACAGACAGAAATGCTTTTGTCATCTCCAAGAAGTGTGTGCTCCTCTCTCGCCATCTTGACTTGATTTTCCCATCACTGTGGCCTATCACACTGCTGGGAATGTCAGCTAGTTTGAGAAGACCTTATCACATTTTTAACTGGCAGCCACTAAATGGCCATATTCCTGTCTGATCCCAGATGAAGTGAGGACCCTGTCAAAGTGGTTTTCAAGATCATACATATAGAGAGGACGGTGTCTGGTTCGTTGCACTAGTCCAGCTGTCTACTGCTCTGCTTGGCAGCCTTGGTGAGCCCATTGCATGACCTGGAAACTTGAGTTTGCCTTCATTTTGGTGTTCATCCCGACTGCAGTGGACTCGTATATTTGTCCTTTTGTGATCGACTAACTTCACTCATGATTCCCAAATCTCTTTATGTCGTGAGGTGACATGATTTTGTCACTTTTTAGGGAAGGGTAGTATTCTATTGTGTATATATACCAAAGGTTTTATTCGTTCTTCTACTGATGGGAATTTGGGCGGTTTCAAATTTCTTGCTATTGTGAACTGTGCTGCAGTGAACCCTGGGAGAGCACACATGTGTTCATGATCTGTCTCTTATTTCTTAGGGGTATATTTCTATTGCCTACTGTTTTAGGAATCATCATATTGCTCTCCACAGCTTTTACAAGCCCACAACAGTGTATAAGAAGAGTTTCAATCTTTCCACACCCTCCCCAACATCTGTTGCTCTCAGTTGGTTTTTTTTTAAATTGGAGTATGGTTGTGGGTGTTAGATACTATCTCATTATTGTTTTGATTTACATTTCCTGAATGGCTAGTGAACAAGAGCATTTCCTCATGTGCTTGCTAGCCATTCAGGTACCATCCTTTGTAAATTGTCTGTTCTGGCCCTTTGCCTACCTTCTCAGTGGGTTATTTGTTTTTTCTTCTTGTAGGCTTATAGTAGACTGTAGATTTTAGTAATTTAGTCCTTTATCTATTCTGTGGTTGCTAAATATATTTTCCCAATCTCTGGGCTTCTCATTTTACTCTTTTGATGTAATCTTTTGATATGCACAAGTGCTTTATTTTTAATAGGTCCCATTCATCAATTTTATCTTCCACCATGTGTGTGCTTCCTTTGCTGTATCTAGTAGCCCATGTGGGCCCTGCACTAGAGCCCTTAGGTTTGTCCCAATCTTCTCATTGATGATCCTGTTAGCTTTGGGTTTTATATTTAGGTCACTGATCCGTCTTCAGTTCATTTTTGTGCATAGGGTGAGGTGTGGGTCCTGCTTCATTCTTCTGCAGATGGATATCCAGTTTCTTCAGCACCATTTATTGAAGAGGGCAGCCCCATCCCATTTAAAGTTTCTTGGTCCTTTGTCAAAAATCATTTGTTTGTAGGCTTTTATTTCTGGTTTTTCTGCCTGTTCCATTGGTGTATGTATCTATCATTATACCAGTATCAGGCTGTTTTGACAACTGGCTATGTAGTAAGCTTTGAGATCAGAAAGGGCAAGACTGCCTACTTTGTTCTTCTTTTTGAGAAGTTTTTTGCTTATCCTGGACCTCTTACCTCTCCATATGAAGTTGGTTCTTACTTTTTCCGTTTCTCTAAAGAATGATGTTGGGATTGGGATTGAAATTGCATTGAATTTGTAGATTGCTTCAGGTCAGTGGTTCTCAACCTTTCTAATGACGCCACCCTTTTATACAGCTCATGTTGTGGCAACCCCAACCATAAAGTTATTTTTGTTGCTACGTCATAACTGTAATTTTGCTACTGTTATAAATCGTAATGTAAATAACTGATATGCAGGATGTATTTTCATTGTTACAAATTGAACATAATTACAGCATAGTGATTAATCACAAAACAATATGTAATTATATATTGTGAAATATTTATGTGTTTTCCGGTGGTCTTAGGCGACTCCTGCAAAGGGGTCGTTCGACCCCTAAAGGGTTGCGACCCACAGGTTGAGAGCCGCTGCTTTAGGTAATAATGACATTTTTACAATACTGTGAATTCCTGTTTTGAGAATTTTGTGACCCTTTGCTATCTCCCCCAGTGGGTCTTAGTCCTGATTGCACATTATAGTCACCTGTGGGGTTTTAAGGAGCCCTGGTGGTGTAGTGGTTACATGTTAGACTATAATCCACAAGGTTGGCAGTTCAAAACCACCAGCAGCTCTTAGGGAGACAGGGCTTTCTTCTCTTCTAAGAAGCTAAATTCTTGGAAACTCACAGGGGCAGTTCTTCCCTGTCCTGCCGAGTAACCAAGAGTCGGTATTGACTCGATGGCAGTGAGCTTTTGTTTGTTTGGTGAGGCTCTAACAGCCTCTGCTTGGGCAAAGCCCCTAATGTAATTACTCTGCAGTGGAGCTTGGGCACCCAGTTCTGATTCTCATTGGCCGAAAAGGTAGAAAAGCCAGTTTGCAGCACGGAAAGAAGGAAGCGTATAAGTGCATGGGGTATTTGCGACGGTAAATCCTGGGTACATATCCCCATTCTGTCACTTCAGAACCATGGTACTTTTGCTTAAAGGAAGTGTCTTGATCTCTATAGGATTTGTTCCACACTTAAAAAACAGAGATCACTAAATCCTCACGATGTTGATGTGAAAGTGCAAAAGAGATCGTGTGTGCTGTGTTTGGCATCTGCTGAGCACTTTGATGGAAGCTGAAAACAGCGTTTAAATTCGTTTGTGCTTCTTTGTGAGAGGATTTAAACATTTTCGACAATGTTTGGTGCTTTCAACATTTTTTGAGAAATCCAGGTGCTTTCTCAGCAACCTCACAGCAGGAAAATGTCGGGGACGCTCATTTGCTGCACAGAAAGTTGTCGTCACGGAGCTTCTCCTCATCTCTGTCCCTGCTGGCTGTACTGTGGCCTTACCTTTCCCACCTCACCCCCAGAAGCCTCATCTCCAAAAGCAGGCCCTTTTGGCAATGTATATTGAGGCTTAATAAGACCGTACACATTTGAAAGCTCTCGAATGGTTTTTCTTTTTTCTGGTTTTTGTTATTGTTGTTGTTTTTAACTTTTATTGTGAATTGAGTGAAGGGTTCTAGAGCAAATCAGTTTTCCATTGAATGAATGTATATACCTTTTGTTTCATGTCATTGATTGCATTTCCCACAATGTATTATCACTTGTCCCACTTCCGCTATGTGTTTCCTGTTTCCATTCCTCCTCTTTTCTTAACCCTTCTTGGCTTCTGACCTGTGTTTGGGCAAATGCTGCTCTTTTGATCTCAAATGGTTGATTATTCTGAAGGGTGAGTAAGTACCTCCCAAGTGTAGAGCTCTCACTGCTTGACTGAGACTTGAGTTGGGCCTGACAGAGTGAGTTCATTTTCAGACCTGAAAGGTGACTTGGGGCCATAGACAGGAGCAGGTATGCCAACCTTCATGGGTCCCTGAAGCCCTGGGACTTCCCAAACCCTGGCTCTACAGAAATGAAGTAGATACTCAGCCTGCCATCCACCATTAACCCACGAAAGTGCTTCACTTTCTTTCAGTCACATCGATGTGAAGGGAGTTCTTTGTGTTTAGCTTGTGACATGATATTTAGTCTCGGACTCAAGTAGACTTTTTTGGTGAGAAGACTAGCTTTTAACTGAAAGTATTTAACTGTGATTAAGATCGGAGGTGCAAATCTACACTGTCTTTACTACTGGAGCAGCCTGTAAGTTCATTTTTAACATCAGATTCTTGAATGTCTAGGTTAGCACCATTAAAAACAAAACAACTCCAACTAATTGGAAACACTTAGAGCTTTTGGCCTTTCTGATAATAATAGAAGTGGAAGCCTTGCCGTCTCATTTTTTACCTGTTCCTTCATCATTTCCAATATTCTATGAATGCTTCCTTCAGTCTTAGGAACTCAGTCTGAGGATGTGGATCAGCTTGTAACCTGCATAGAAAGCAAGCTGCCAGTCCTGATGTGCACACTGCAGCTGAGAGAAGAGTTCAGGCAGGAAGTGGAAGGAACGGCTGGCCTCTTATACGTGGATGACCCTAACTGGCCTGGGATTGGGGTTGTCAGGTAAAGTTTCCACTTGTCACAAGATGAGAATCTATCTTTGCTTTGTACAGAATTATGAATGGGTCATTTTGAAAATCAGCTGAGAAGTCCAGTAGGGACATGTGGAGTCTCAGTCCCCTTGTTCTCCCGGGCATTCCAAGAGCATAGTGCAGAGCGCAGTCTGGCCCACCATTGCACTCGGTGTGCATCCGGGCCCTGTGAGGGAGGCCCCGGGGTATGCTTTGTCTTTCTGTGCTTACTCCAAGTTAAGAGCAGGAGACAGTAACTGACAAATCTGTAAGAAAAAGAACTTCCCTGGTGAGAGAAAGCTCCCTGTCTTCTAGTTCAGTCTGTGTAGTATATCCATGGCTGCTTCCCAGGCTTCAAGGATGAGACAAATCTCTTACACCTTTAGTACTGTAAATGAAGAGACGTTCAGGCCTTACCTCTTTCTAAATCTTTTTTTTTTT